TTGGTAAAGCATACATTTTTGCCTCTACCTTTACTCTGCTATTCTTGTTTCCCATTATTCCTGCATCACTAATTTTAAACAACCTTATACACTTTTTGTAAGTCATTGTATACACTTGGGGTGTATTTCAAGGGAAATAAAGGATCTGTAGCAGTCATCTGGTAAAATCACTGCTTCACTGTAAGTGGTAAAAACTGAAGCACTATCCACAGCAGCAGCTCCTCCAGCCCAGAGCCGCAGGCCGCTCAGACTCCGGCACAGTGAGAAATCTCCTGAAGTCTCAACTGCCTGTCCTTCCCCACTCCAACTGTATCCCTATGTCTCTTCCTGCACACTCTGCAGTGTGAAACTGAAATGTTTATGAATGATATTTATTGAAAAGATTCTGGTGCTTTCTATAATTAAAATAATAAACTTCAAATTGTTTTTAACTGAAGAATTAATGTTCACTTTTTGTCCCTTATGATTCTTCTCATGTTGTACAAAAACAAATATAATTCCCATCAGAGTAGGAAACAAACAAAAAACACAAATCACAAATGCTTTGAATCTACATATTGCTATTTGAGAAAGAAAAGCTTGATACTTACTGCTTCTAGAATCTTCTGGCTTGTGTGAGGATGAATGTCCTGAAAGGAAAACAGCATCATTTTACCAAGCATCATCTTTGGGTGGTGTTGACAGTTGTACATAAAACCATAAATTCTTCACAAATTTGGTTTTCTTATGCTCAAAAACAAACAAACAAACAAACCCTTACTACTTTCTAATCTTTCAGGTCCCTAGCCTTATCTCCTCAATTAAAATGTTAGGTCCTTTTAGACAGATCGCCTTATGTGTTCATAAAGCCTGGGATAGCTAACATGAAACTTAAAATCTGAGAACCTAGGAAAAGTCTCACATGACTTAAAAATACTTCACAGGTTGCAATTTGATAATAATAATATTCCTTTTTCCTTGTGGAGATGTTCAGCCCTTCCACTGAACAGTGCACAAATATACATTTCCACAGAATTTTTTCCAAGGTCACAGACAAGTCGGAAGGGGAGGTGAAGGGTTGGAGCTGCAAAGCAAGTGTTCCACCACTGAGCCGCACGCAGCCAACCTTGTCCAGCAGTAACTACTGAGGGAGACAAGAAGTGAAAAGTACGTGTGTGTGTGTGTGTGTGTGTGTGTGTGTGTGTGTGTGTGTGTGTATTTTTGGTTTTGGAGATAGGGTTTCTTTGTGTAGCCTTGGCTGTCCTATGCTCAACTGTAGACCAGGCTGCCCTTGAACTCACAGAGATCCCTTTGCCTCTGCCTCCCGAGTGCTGGGACTAAAGGTGTGCTCCACCACCACCACCTATCTATATCTTAAACGACCACTCTACAGAATCCTCTGGGAGACATTTCTGGAGGGTGATGAAATGAAAAGCAGAGGTGACAGAATGACACCCTAACAAAATGCAGAGGGCTAAGAAGCCTAAGTGTTTGTCTTTCAGAGGCAAAAGGGGTCCAAGAGTGCAGAGTAAAGGCATGGAAATGTGCCCAATGTAGGTAGAAAGGTTAGGCTAACTCTGTGGGCCTCCTGACATCAGTAGAACCAAACTGGGAAGTGTAGGCTGGGGCCACACGTCAAGGGGAAGCTCTAGCAAACACGACCATCTGAAATGTGAAGGGCTACTGTAGGTGGGCTGGGTTCCTCTTCCCTGAGACACTAAAGTAAAGCCAGAACCAACACAGGTCGCAGGGCAGAGCTCTCAGACAGTGACTTCAGACCAACATACAACTGATCAACACCGCTGGTCAGAGCACTGTAGTTCGAAAAGCAAGAACTCCAGAACATCATTTTGATTATGAATCTGGGACTGATTTCTGGAGTTTCTCCGACTATGAATTCATTGAAGGACTCCCTCACCTAACATCTACTAAATGCCTACAGTGTTAGAAATGGGGGTGAGATAAACAGTCACACAACCCCGTCTCACAGAAACGAATTATTTCAAGGGTTCTGTGCACTCCTAGTCTGGGGAAGTGAGACAGAGGGCCTTTCCAGCTGAGCTGGACTGAAACTGAAGGGGGAGGCAGCTGAGAGAAAGGGAAACGGGGAGAGACGATCTTGAATCTTTGGCCAAGAGAGTGAATCTATATCTAAGGATTTTTGTTCTTCCTTATTTGTAAAAGCAACAGCTCTTCACACACAAGCTATTGTCTTACTTCCCTCTCTACACATTCATTATTCTACACATCCATCCATGTGGGCTTCAGCTGTCCGCCCAGCCACTCACTTAATTATCACTCTCTATGATGCTAACATGAAGCTATAAAGAATGCAGTCTCACATAGCGGGGAAATGATGTCTAGGTTTGAATAAATAAGCAGTGCCAATGCCATATGCAACTGTGATGTTTAAATATTATTAAAGCTTACGCCATATTAAGAAGGTCTAGGTAGCTCTTCCTTAATTGAATGATTACATGATATGATTACAGCAAAAAGTAACAATATTATTAATGCAATAATGAATATAACCAAATTTTCAAATGGTATATTAGCATATTACAATAAATAAAAAAATTTTAAATTCAAATGAGATTTTCACATTTATTAATTAAGATTTACTTTGGAGTTAGGAAATAATTAAGAAAGACATGAAAAGACTTTCAGGTTCAAATGTCAACTCTCAATACAAAACAGGATAACAGTTCTTCTACTAACCATCCACTCCAACTCAGCAATACTATGTACTATATATGCAAGAAGGAAAAATGCATTTAAGAATGCACCTCAGCCAACTATCTTCCTATCTAGAGCAAGGGAGCCCTCTCCTGTCCAAATCTTATATTAACATTAGTTTAAATTTAGTTGAATCTTGCATTGCCCACCTAGTTTGATGCAGTAGAAGTTATAGCCAATTAACTAGTGATACTGAAATAGCAATTAGAAGTAACCTTTATAATAGCTAATTACATGGCAGGCATTAGTTAAATTCTTTAACAAATTATCTCAGTTTTTCTCATAATCCCGTATGATAGGTATACAATCATGACTTTAGACAGCGTGACACGCTGTAAAGCTGCTTTACAGTTCTGGGTGCCTTCGCATTCTCATTTGGACTCTGCTTGAGCTTGACAAATATGGAGGTGGGTGTTCACATCACCCAACATACAGGGACAAAATAAGCTCAAAGAGTCGGTGTCTCATCCAGGTAACGCAGCTTGGAAACATCAGGAACTGACACTGCTTGCAGGATCATGTGATCTGTTTTGCCTGCCCAAAAGGAATCAAAGCCAAGTTTGGTCTTAAACTGTAAGTGACGATAAATTTAATCTGATTTCTCAACTGCTTTCCTGTACTTGCTACAAAACACAGCTCTACTGCACCACCAGAGAGACTCTGATCAGCACCGCACAGACTGCATTTCAAACTCAGAATGAGGAGTTCCTAAACCCCTTTACCTTCATCCGTCCCCTTGGAGGCCTCTGAAGAAGATGATCTGGATTTCTTATGTGGTGAATCGTCACATTCAATCTTGGTTTTAGCCTTCCTTTTTTTTGACTTGATTTCTTTTCTCCTTTATGTTAAACAACACAATACTGGAGTTAATTTTTTCAACTGATTTTATAAAAAATAAAATTCAACAAATTAAAAAAGTTAAAGAACCTTAAATAAGTATGTAAATATTTTAGGTCAATATATAAGTTAAGATAATTCTGTAAGATAATAAAGTCTAAACAGAGATAGGGAACCATTTCGTGAGTCTCCACACAACTAATAAGACAGTTTACTCAGCCCTCTGTCAGCACGTGACCCAGACCCCCGAGCAGAGAAAACACAAGTGAGAAGCAAGCGCTGTGACGGCTGTGACACAGTGAGAGAACTCCCCTCTCAGAATCACACTAGAGGAAAAGGACTGGGAACGGAGATACAAAGTGCTTATTTTTAACTCACCTCTAAGCATTAGACAATTTATAATTTGCCTTCTTATTGTTCTGGCCAGACTTACAATTTAGTCAGTACAATAGGTGAAAAGCAATTAATTTTAATTGCTTAAGAAAGGAAACACGATAAAAAAGCTCTCAAACATTTCTCCACAGACTTCTGACTGAGACATCCGTGCTGACGCTGTCATGCTGGCATGTAGTTAATCATAGTTTTTCTTTTATCGAAGTCATTTCAAATTTGAAATGACACAAAAGGGAGAATCAAAAAAGACTTTCAGTCTCAGCATCGCTAACAGAAAGGAAATTAAGGTTAGGGCTGGCTGCCCATGTAACAAAACATCCTGCTGACTTTAAAAATTTATTACTCATTTGTAGCAGCTAAAACACCATATAGACATGCTTATAATAAAACCTATTTTAAGCCAGGTGTGGGGGTATATACCTGTAACCCCAGCATACAAGAGTCTGAGACAGGAGAATCACAAATTTGAAGCTAGCCTCAGATACATTATTATTGAAGGCTAGACTGCCTCAAAAACAAAACAAACAAAACAACAACAATAAAGAAATAACAACGATATAAAAACCAATAAAACCAAGGTCAATGATTTCCTATGTACGCATGGTACAGGCCAGTGGTGCTCCTATGTAACTCAGCACGGTAGACACAGTCCGGATGACTTAACAGGAGCCTGACTTTACCAATGACGTTTGTATCACTGAGAAACTCTATTTAAAAGACTGTTTAAAAGTAACAAGGAGGATTGGAGAGATGGTTCAGAGCGTAAAAGAGTCTTCATTACAAACTTGAGGATCTGAATTTGAATCCCAATAATCCATGTAAATGTCAGTAATAATATGCGATCATGTCCACTAATAATCTTGGGGTTAAGAGGCAGGAAGGCTGAGACCGGAGACTGGAGAATCACCATGGCCTGCCAGTCAAACTAGTCAAAAATGGCAATCTCCAGGTTCAGTGAGAAGCCTTGTCTTAAGTGAGCAATGCTAAGAAAGTCGAACAACACAACTATCAATGTCTGCCTCTGGCTTCAGAACACACATGCATGCACGCACTTACTTTTGAGCTTTAAACATTTTAAGAACCATTCTATGTAGTCTGCTTTATAATATCATTTCTAAGAATATTACAGTGTCTGGCCATTGGCTCCAAACTAATAACTCTCCTAAAGGGCATCTTTGCCCCACATAGATGTTCACATACAAAACTGCTTGGCTGGATCAAGGTAGAGTGAATGTCCGGTTCCATGAATCACACAATAATGTTCTATTTTCTAAACAATGAACTAAATCCACTTTCCAAATTGAGATTAGGCAGAACAATAAAATGAGTATGGTCTAAATTACTAAATATTAAAAATAGTATTTTAAAAGGAAAAATTACCTGTGATGAAAATTTAATTTAAAGGAACATTCTTGGCATAATCCTAAAAGAGAAAAACATATATCACTGAGCTTCTGAATCTGTGTGACTATATTGTTACTCTATTTTAATTATGATTTCTCATGTTCTGTATACCCCTTGCTATATATAGGAAATAATATGAAGAAAATAATCTAACATTATACTTCAAATTATATTAAAATGTTTGAGGGTTGAAAATATTTTAACAATGCTTTGTTTTTAAATTTTTTCATACAATGTTTTTTGGTTATATTATTCCCCCTCCTTCAGCTCCTCTAAGAGACCCCCCCTCCACTCACCCCACTTCATATTCTTTCTCTCTTAGAGAAAAAGTATGACTCACTAAAGACAATGATTTTTCCCCGCCACAGCAGCTCTCAATGACATATAGTGCCCACCTCACCTTCTGTCCCAATGCTGGGCCCTGCCCCCAACTTTGGCAGACTTCCACTGCTCGGGTGCAGGCCACACCAGTCAGAAGAGCAGGTGAGGGACCCTGTGCCTGATGAACTGACCCACTCTCTGTACTCGGTTCTCAATCACAAATAGCTTAGGATGAGGACTCTGTACCCATTTCCCCTTATTGCTGCTGGGATTCTGTCTAGTGTGAACCTGTGCTGGTCTTACGTATGCTGTCACAGTCTCTGTAAGTTCACAGTGTATCAGCCCTGCTGTGTCTGGAAAAGCTGTTTAAAAAGGACTTTAGAAAAAGTGTCATCCATTGTGTCTCACAGGCAGAATTAGGATCCGACATCAAAGATAGCTCCTAACATAATAACATGATGTCATTAATATGCATACAATAACACTAATAGAATGGTGCTGTGGTCAACTTTTTTTTTGCAGTGAGAGACAATGACTGCAGAGACAAACTGGTCAAAGTGCTGAGAGTAACCAGCTGTGAGTGCTCAGCTCTGCACAGGGCACCTATCTTACCCCCTCCAAGGCCCAGGGAACATCTCCAACAAGAAAGCGGAGGAAAGATTAAGATCCAGAGGCTGCATGGTATGTTGTGTAACTCTGTCCTCTGAGCATGGCATGGCTACTATACTCTTGAATGCTCAGCAGTCGTGATTACTTGAAAACCTGCCCCAGGTAAGTGAACATTCCATCATTGTGAGGGTGGGGGAGACACATGAGGCCCTTACCTTCCTCAAGATTTCTAAGTGTTGCCCATGCACCTATAAATAATCCCTCACTGCAAGTAACCACAATTACACTCACTGGACCACCAACAAAACCAAAAAACAAAACAAAAAGACACGTAGGAGGACTAATGAAGAAGGGACAGCCAATAGGTGAGGGGTAAGAGAGAGTGAGTGGTTTGGGGATGAGCAACATATATTACTATATACAGGCATGAAAATGTCATTGTGAGACCTATTATTAAGTAAAATTACTGTATGTGAGGTGAAAACTTCTTTAAAAGGATTCTTTCCTAAAAATCTCGACTCACTGTCAAAGAGCGAGCTTATTTTCTGTCCGAGCCACATGACAGCTACACATTCAGCCACAGGGCCTACACCACCTTTCGGACACTGTCACGCAGACACACAATCCAGTGACATTCTCAACTTCGTGAGATCCTCACTCTACAAGTTACCTGCTGGAATCTGACATTAGAATTGTTTTTATCAAAGTGCTACCAAAATGCTAAAAATTTTAGACTCAAAATTTCTCTGAGGTTTGGGGAAACTACATGGAAAAAGAGTACTTTCAGGGGGAAAAAAAACATTGAATCTTTTAAGATTGAACTGTAAATAATCTACACATTTTCCAATTCTAAATTAAAGATTATCTTGGAAGAAATCCCCCACATCTTCACTAAACTCAACTTACTTAATTTAACAAGTGCATTTCTCTTCTCACCGTGCTCAATATACCCAAAGTTAACTTCCCAGCTCCTCAAGCCTTCTTTCTCATCACAGCGTTTATTTCCACAAAAAAACTGACCTGCAAAAAGGAAAGGACTATCAGCTAGGACACGTGACCTATTGGCATGCAAACCTATGACCTCTGAACTTTAACCCTACAGACCCATTACCTCTAAAACCTTCTTTTAAAATTTGGGAAATAAATAATAAATATAATAGGATGCAAAATAAATATTCAAGAATATATAATCAATTGTAACACAAGTTTATTATTAAACATAAGTGACCATAATGAAATCAAAGAGATGATTTGGGTTTTTCCTTTTGCAATGGTGAACCCAGGGTCTTGTGCCAGCTAAGCATGTGCCACATCCCAGCCATTAAGCCACATCCCAGCTCTTTCTTTTTTCTTGCTTGTTTGCTTGTGACATTGCCTTAGCTGACCTAGAACTTGTTCTATAGGTCAAAACTGAACTTATAGACATCTTGTCTTATCACCCAAATGGTAGCTGGAACCACCAGACTGTGTCACCAGACCTCAAGAGCTGAACTCTTAAAAGAAAGAAAGAAAAAAACAAAAAAATAAACAAACAAAACACAGTCACAGAACTTCTGATGAAAACTGTTTATTTAGGTAGAAATGTAGTGAGTTCATATTAGAAAATCTTGCACTCGGAAAAGTGAAAACACGAAGTGTGCTCACTAAAACCCTGGAAGGAGAAATCATTCCCAAAATGTTTTTTCTTAGATCTGAGTCCTTATAGTCTTTAATGGCAATATTAAAATTAATGTTTTCAAGTATTATTACATTCTTTACTTAAAGTTCTAGCAAAAATGTTCATGAAAAACATTTTAAAAACTTAAACCCGACATACTAAATTTTAACACCTGATGGCTCTATCATATATCTGAGACTTTTAAACCAGGACAGAGGCTGATGATCTGGAGGTGGAGGGACAACTCAAAATTATATATTTTGTCAGAAAAAAACTAAAAATGATTTATACAACAAACAATTCCCACCACAATAATTTACATTAAGCAACAAACAGAAACCACAAAATCCTTTTTATAAAATGCAAGACTGCCAAAGTGAATTTATAACATTAACATCTAAAAGGCTAATTTATAACTCAGCTTTTTGAAACATAATCTATTGCATGTAGCCCAGACTAACCTCAAACTTACTGTGCAGCAGAGGATGATGAACTTAATACACATTTTTTATTTAGTTTATCTACCTACCTATTTATCGTGTGTGTGTATGTGTGTATGTGTGTGTGTGTGTGTGTGTGTGTGTGTGTGTGTACATGTTATGCCATGGCATATATAAGGGTGTCACAGCACGACTTTAAAATTCATTTCAAATTAAACATGCACATGTTTACTTAGTATGTTTAGTAATGGCTGTTAAACAACCACAACATTCTATCTCAACAGAGCAACAGCTTGCCCTCCACCCCAACTAGTCCTACACTCACTTACGACCTTAGAGAATGCCCACCAACTTTTTAAAAGGCAGTTTTATCTACTCTCCTAAAAATTATACTTGACAAAATTAACACAGACATTTTATTAGTGAAAGACATTTCAGGATCTCTCATTACGTTAGGTAAAACTAGAAAAGAAAATGTAATCTTCAGAAAACATCTACACTACCTTATTTTTAAATGTTTGTTAGTATTGTGTATGTGTGCGAGCGTGGTGCCTGTGTGTGGTGTGTGATACACGTGGAGGTCAGAGGACAACTCGGTTGAGTCTGTTCTCTCCTTTCACTCCAGGTTCCAGGAACTGAACTGAAGTTGCTAGTCTGGTGTGGCAAGTGTCTTTACCCACCGGCCACTCACTGAGCTGTTGAATTGTTTTTCCTTCTCTTCTACAGAAAACATCCCTGCCATTTATACGTGTGCACCCCAGGCTTGCCTGGGAGACGTCAGAGAAGGGCTGTCTCCGGGAACTACGGTGCTCTTCAACTGCTCTGAACGTCTCATCTTTTGATACTAGACTAAACATTTGGGCTCAATCTAGAACCAGTCTGTACAAAACTTCTATTGGGTTCACATTTTATACTTAATTTCTACTTTCAGAATGTTGATTTCTGTTGGAATAGAGTACTGTCAATATTTTATTATAATAATTGGTAATCAAACACTCACTTGCTCCCTGTTATTAAGTCTTTAATTTTCATAACATTTTCTACATATTCTCAAGGTCAAATTCTAAAGGAAAAGTCATGAAAGCATTAAATTTTGATCTTTGCTAATAATGTATTTATCAGAAATATATATTCCATAATTTTATTTTATAGATAATAGTTTATTGTCTATAACAGGGAAAATCTGACCCAATGATTTCAATGATAACAAAATAAGCTGTGTTATATTAAAAAGTAATTTTAAAAAAGTTACCTTTTCCTGAAATGACTTCTTTCTCTATTCTCCACCTGAATCCAAACTGGCATGAAAATAAACGCAAGCATAAAATTTAAATTGCATATCTATTCACTCTAAACATAAAGCCAAGGATGACGACATTTCAGCCTGAAAAATAAACCTAATTCTCAAGGTGATGGCTTTATATCTTTTTACAGGAATTTGAAAATACCTCTGAACAATCACCAACCTCTGTTAAAAACGACTTTTAAAATACACTACAAGTTACAGGTGTCAAGGCAGGAAAACACTAATTTATATAAGAGGTTGTGATTACGGCAAAGGACAGTATTTTAACATGTTGACCCTGTAGGATCATGTACTGAGAAAGAATCCAGGGGCTCAAGAGATGGCTCAGCGCTTAAGAGCACTGGCTGCAATTACAGAGAACCAAGTTCAACTCCCAACACCCATGCGGTAGCTCATAACTGCTTGCAATTCCAGCTTAGGGGATCTGACATCTTCTGGTCTCGAGTACAGAACACATGTGCTGCACAGATATACATGCAGGCAAAACAGTCATACACATTTAAAAAAAAGGAAAAAGGAACAATTAAGATTTAATCTTTTTTGCCAAATTTATATCTTAAATGCAAATGAAGACTCAAAAGAACGTCAAAACATTCTAGTTAAACCCCAAATAAAAATAAAATCCTCTGCAGAGAAAAACAAAGTAACAATTTTAGGATAACCCCCTTTCACTTTATGCTTAAGCTTATATATGTGTGCAGAGATTGTGTGCCATTCAACACTCTTGGACTGTCTGCTAAAGCACAAAATCAAATGCATTACTAGCAAGGGTTTCCCAAACCTTTCCTTAAGTTAATTTATTTAACAAATATACTTATTAAGCACCCATTTATTGGACTTGGTATTCAAATGAGGATAACAGGTAATTCTAAAAATAATGTCTGTTAAATCTTATTTTTTAAAAACTGGGGGAGGGGGCTGAAGAAATGGCTCGGCTGTTTAGAGTGCTTAGCACTGCTGCAGAAGACCCAAGTCTGGTTGCCAGCATCCAGAGTGGATCACAACCATCTGTTCCTCCAGTCCCGGGGAGCTGGCACCCTCTTCTGGTATCCACAGGCACCCACATAGTACACATATGTGCAGGCAAACATTCATACACATAAGATAAAAACAAGTAAGTCTTTACAAAGCAATATCTGTCATCAGGAAAATTATAATCTATGGGGAATGAGGAACCACACTATCATGAGGTAACTTCTGTATCCTCATACCCTTTGCTGACACCAGTTCTTGCTGGATTCAAGCTGCAGTTACTAAAGGGTTGGTCCTGAATCCTGCTTCCTGCAACACAGATTCTGTACACTTGAAATTTTTGTGAAAGAAAAATAGCATTTGGCTCATTTAGGGCACTGTTCTTCTTTCCTTTTATTTTTTTTTTAAGGAAAAGAATGTTTTCCTTAAAAAAAAAGTTCTCTTTTTCTTGGGTCTGAATCTAATTCTAAATGACAGACTAATCCAAATATATTCTGAATTATGAAGTTTTCCTTTCTTTTTCTTTTTTTGAGACAGAAACTCTATCTTGTCCTGGAACCTGCTATGTAGACCAGGCTGGCTTCAGATGCACAGAGATCTGCCTGCCTCTGACTCCTGAGTGCTGGAATAAAAGGCATGCGCACGCCACAAGGTATGAAAATTTTTTTCAAAGAAAGGTGTAGGAATGTGGAACAAAGGAAGTCAGTAGAAGTGCCTCCTCTCTCTCTCTCTCTCTCTCTCTCTCTATATATATATATATATATATATATATATATATATATACACACACACCCACATATATATATGTGTATATATATACACACACACATACATACGTGTGTGTGCACACACAGAGTAAGAGAGTAGGCACTTCTAGTGACATGTATATGTATGTGTAGACATATACACATACAGGAGCGGGGAGAGAAGACACTTCAAACATAGTATGCCAGGATACATCTCATAATAATTTTTAAATAGAGACCTTAAACACTTAACTTTTATTTGTGTATATCTGTTTTCAACTACACCACAAGTTCATTTTCTTATTTGTTTGTTTTGAGGGAGGATCTCCCTCACATCTGCTTTGCAGCTAAGCTCGCCTTGAACTCAAAACCCTGCCACTGCCTCCTGAATGCTGGGATTATGTCCTCCACTATCACATCTGACTAGACTGCAGCTCTGCGTGAGGGGCAGTCACTATATACTGCTTCCAGTTCAATTTCTACAAACACTGGAGTGGTTCATAAAAAGCCCATGGCTGAAAAGCCACTGCCATACATTCCTAGAAAGAAGGTGCCTCAGACTTGACTTGCAGTGCTGTGGGGATTCCAGATTAGTTACCGTGATTGGCTGGCACAGACGAGAGCTCTGCAACAGCACCCACAACTAACACACAAGAAACCCAGCAGCCTCTGGGCTACAGCAACCACAGGTCTGGAATAGGATTATGCAAATAATTGTTGCTACTGTCTGTACAGAACTAGAAAACAACTTACAAACTAAAAACACTGAAGAGATCAAACTAAATGAGAAAGAACTCCTTAGAGTTTCTTTTAAGATAGCTGTTTATCAATGGTTGTTTTCTTAGTAGACAGAAATATGCACTACCCAACATGCATTCCTTCTTTTTGCATTTCCGACTGGGATTACCGTTCCTGGAATACCTTTTCTAGTTCCTGTGGAAGTGGAGCTAGAAATAAAAATAGCTTTAAAATTAATTAAAAATGGAAAGTAGAAATGGGAATCTGTAACTACTAATTAGCACTGACTGAAAGTGAATTTTACCAAAATAGAAATATTTATGTAATAAAAGTGCATCTGCTACTCCATAAATGTCAGTCAATCAAACCATTCATTTTAAACATGAACTGTGAATGAGACATCATTCAGCAGTTTAGTCACTAGAGGCTCGAGATGAGATCCCATGTGGGATCCAATTGCCAGCTGTGTGTAACTTTAGATTTTTTATGGTTATCTCACAAACAAAAAGCACCCCACCCTTCATAAATTCCATAGATTCTTTGTAAGTCCCATGATTACACAAGTTAAGCAGTCAAAATGATATTCCAAAGTGCAAGATAACAGATTCAAATCAGTGCCATGAAAGAATAATGTGGGTCATAGTGGTTAATAAAAATTAATGCTGTACTTGAACAAGAGCTCTAGCTATAAATATTCACAGGACATACCTTATTTTCTTTGTATCTACTGAGATCTGCTATGCAGTATTCCTTGAATAACTTATCATAGTATTTCTTTGCAAGTCTCTTCTCCCTAAATCCATAAAAAGTATGTAGCATACATTTAGAAATCCAACCACAATTTGCTGCTTTGAAACATTATCAAATAGATAGCATATGATATAAATATTAATGTTAAAAGAGGCCTAACGCAGACAGATGTGCTGACTATCTGGAGATGAACTGCTAATGGCAGGTCTCTCGGAAACTGAAGGACTTGGGGAAATGAGAAAGAGAATTACTCTTCATTCATTACCCTTTGGGATATCTGGACTTTGAAAATCACTTTCATGATTTCTTTCTCCCAAAGTATTCAAAACATTTTATAAGAAACACAATAACTTATTATAAGACAACAATAAAATAATTATTTTTGAAGATGGGGGTCAAACAATTAGAATTAATATCGCCAAAGATTACCGAAGGAAGCAAACCAGAGTCAAGAGTCTTAAATGTTAAGTTTTTGACTTAGAAACTGTCCTATAAAGAGCTGAATGCCTTGAATCAGTGATGACTAAGACAACGTAGACTGGTGCCAGAGAGACGGCTCAGAGACTAAGAGAATGCACTGCTATTCTTCAAGAGACCTTAGTTCAATTTCCAGCACCATGTTGGGTAGCTCACAACCACCTGTAATTCCAGATTCAGGGAATCAGCATCTTCTGGCCTCCACAGTATATTCCCACACACATGTGGTATATACACACAGACAGACAGACAGACAGACAGACACACACACACACACACACACAAATAAAAATAATAACATCTTTAATAAGTAATGAGAAAACAGAATAAGAAAGACAAGACTAAAACATCTGCTTCACTAGAAGCTAATGGTTGAAATTTCTAAGCCATCAGAATGGCAAGACAGTTCAGTCAGTGACAGCTCCTGCCAATCCTGCTGACCTGAGTCTGAACACTGGAACCACAAATCAAGAAGAGAACCAACTCTTTCAAGTGGTCATTTGACCTCCATCCACATATACACACAAAATAAATAAATAAAATGTAATAGAGTTACCAAGTCATATCTGTTTCATCCTCTTCATTCCATAGGAATCTATGGTTTTCTCGTATAACATCCAGGTCTGTCTTATCATTCTCCCTAGGAAACAAAAATTTTCATTTAGTACAAAAATAAGTCAGATTTAGATTAAATAGTGCTAAAATTTTTGAAACCTTGAATAAAAATATAGATAAAAGTATAGTTCTATTTGGAAATTTTTACATAAAACAACTACTTCAATGTTTTCAGAAACTAAGAAAAATGCAAGAAAGGAGCAAGTTCAGTAGAGAAACAAATCCAATCATCTCTAAGGGGTCTAATTATACATAAGGGGTCTAAATATACAAATGGTGCTATGTCGCCAAAGCAAGGACGAGAAAGTTGAACAGACTCTAAGTGAGGAAATGGGAATAACAAGTGAGAACAGACCCAAGAGACTAGCCCTCGGTAACATGCAATGTTACAAAAGGAGAAAGAGAAATAGATGCTCAGCATGGAAGCAGAAGAAACACTTGAGCAGTGTGTGCTCAGTGGATAGGGGTCAGAGTGGGACAGCTAAGAGAGCGTGCTGAAGTCTAGGGCCTACTACTCAGGAGGAAATTCACGCAAGAACAAGAGCCTCGACACAGGAAAAATTTTCTGTGTGGAAATTCTAGAGTGAAGTTTCTAGTTTGTCTTACTTTTTTATTAATGTTTTTACTTTTTTGAGATTATAATTACATCATTTCTATTCTTCCCTTTCCTCCCTCCAGCCCCCCTCAGATGCCCTCCCGACTGCTCTTATTCAAATTCATGGCCACCTTTTCAATTGTTACACACACACACACACACACACACACATAAACACACACACACACACACACAGATGTATATAATTATTGGTTGCATTCATCCTTTTGGACACTTGCATACACTTTCTGATTTGGGAAGGACCCTTTCAGATCCCTCTATGAATTGTGTGTCCTAAGTGTCTGATGTCTTCAGTAGGGACTTACCTTTAGCCTCCAGAGAGCAACCAAGAACAACAGAAATAGCCTTAGTGTTTGGAGAGTCTCTTGGACATTGCCTTATTTTTGCAAAAGCAATCCTGGACACTACAGTTTCCTTATCAAGAAGACACAAGTGTATTTCTCTCACACACTGGTACTTCCCACAGCACTCTTGCCTCGACAGGCCTGCTGCCAAGGAGGATATAACAGAGGGCCTAGAAAACCATCCATACTTGCCCTACCTCCTACGTAAGCTTCACAACACTTACCCTAAGCGCTTGAAGTCCTCTCTTTTGCCACCATAGTACAAAATATAGTCATTTACAAACTTTGTGTGCCTTTGATACTGAAACGCAAAACATTAAGGATTTTAATAACTGTTCAAGAATTGTTCCATTGCAATATATTACTAAATGAGAGATACATTACTAAATGAGAGATACATTACTAAATGAAAAGACAGAATGGCAAGAGTCTATCCAGCATTTTCAAATGTCAGGCAGACAACTGTATGACAGACTTTCACTTTCTGCTGAAAACAGCTCAAGTGTGTATTACTTGTAACTGGAATCTTCATGCATACATTATTGTCATAAAAATGTACAACTATCAGGGAGAAGAGGGAGCTTTCCGTTCTGGTCCTAGACTGCACATAACCCCATTCTCTTATCCAGTCTAATAATATTACAAATAAAGAAACTGTGGCTTCTAAATTATAGGTAAGAAGTAGAATCTATTGTCCATTATTACACAATGTAATAATTAATGATAAAGTATATAAAAATGGGATATAATGTTCATAAAATTAAGTCGCACCAACATTAAGGTTTCAAAAAGCAAACAAGAAATCAGAAGGCAGGCATGGTGTCTAACACCTATAATGCCAGTGTTTAGGAGACTGAGGCAGGAGGAGCAACAAGAGTTCCTGGTCTGACGTGGGATTCCCCTCTGCATGTTGTAAATATCACTGGTTAACAAAGAAGCTGCTCTGGGCCTGTCATAGGGTAGAGCAGAACTATCCTGGGAAAACTAAACTGAATGCTGGAAGAAAGATGCGCTGAAACTTTGCTGGTAGGCCATGACCTCATGGCAATATACAGACTAATAGAAATGGGTTAAATTAATATGTAAGAGTTAGCCAGAGTTAATTCTAGAATAATAGAGTTAATTCTAGAATAAGCTAGAATTAATAGGCCAAGATGATTAATACAGTTTCAGCCTGCTCTTCAGGAGTCTGGGTGGTTGGGAAACAAACAAGCAGCCTCCTACAACACTGGCCAGCCTAGGCTACAGAGTGAGACAGTGTCTCAAGAAGAAAAGAAACGAAATAAATAAATCACAGTATTTTTTTTTAAATTCAAAGAATCCACAAAACCATGTATATTTTCCACGCACTGTAACAAGATACATGAACATTTAATGTGTGTTTGTGAAGCCTTGGCAGCACCCTCCACACTCAAGCACATGCAAACTAAGCTGTCTCAACTCCTGTGACCACATTCTTAAAGACACAGTTATTTCACTGGCCATGATGTATTCTAATAGAACACTTAATCAGAACATGGGCTAATATAAGTTATAAAAGTAATAAGAAGCCTGAGCTAATAGACCAATCAGTTTATAATTAATATAGACCTCTGTGTGTTTCTTTGGGACTAAATGGCTGCAGGATCAGGCAGGACAGAAATCTCTGTCAACAGAGACCCCTGGCAACAACTCTACCATCCATGCCAGAAAAACAGCACCTATACTTTCATTCTTGCTAGGTGCCCTAACACGCACAATGAAGGTGTCAGAGAAGGGAGAACATACGTTTAAAGCTTATGGGAGGTAAGACCCATTTGGAGGCTAAGCCAAGCTTCCAATGGGTTAGGAGGTAAGAGAGAAAAAAAAATCTAGGACATAGTAACTTAAAGGAAGAGAATGACACAAAGTGAGTCAGATGACTCTAGAGTGATGCCTCCTTTCTCAGTCTCCTGGAGCAGACCCAGAACACCTTGGGGCTTGCTTGACCTCTCCTGTTCTCTACTTTCCCCACAGCAGTGTGACATCAGTGTAGCAGTGCCATGAACTCAGACCAGACGGCCTCCAGTTCCACCTGAGGAACAGAGTGACAGCAGGTCTATGAATGGCACTCAGGCAGATTTAATTTTAAAACAGAAGTTTTGCAGAAAGTTTAAAACAGCCAAGAACCAGGTATGAAGGGAATACATTAAAATGATACTACAGAAGACAAGAACAGAGAAGGGAAATTTTGAAAGATTAATAAGAACAGGCTGGAACATCTGTAAGTTCATGGACTTTTTAAAGTCTATTTATAGAACAAAACTAATATTATTCATTATTTTTACCTCTAAATTTTTCCTATATATTAGCAATAGAGAATTATACCTGAAAATAAATGGCAAATATCTATATCAATAATTACTAGCATGTAAATATAAAACTGGTCCTTTTGACTTGACAAGATTTTGATTTTTAAAAATTAGAAAACACGGTTAATAAGCAGATTTTGAAATATTCTATTGGTTATAAAAACAGGACTATAAAAAGGATACAGCATCCATAGCTATGAGATGAAACCTTCTATTTCTTGCTTCTTCCCTGTTTTTAAAAAAAGTTTAACTCAATTATCCATATTTTATTAACATAACAAAATCCTATTGTCCCAAGATTATAAAACATCTTAAACCAAGGAAAGTCCTAACACCAGAACACCACACCTGTCCAGCAGGTCCGCGGCAACTTGCTTGTGGACCTTCCCATGGTTTTCTTTCTGAAATGGTTTTGTAAGCAGCAACTCATCTTCAACTGTCCTAGTGTATTAAAAAAAATATCCAAAGAGTTAGTTTTCCTTGAAGGATACACACCAGTTCTTTGCACGTTCATGACTGCACAGCAAGTGTTCCATTAGTGACCTGCATCTCAGCCATGGCAGCTTGAAGGAAAATTTCCTGTAACCACAGCTGAACACCTGAACTACAGCTGGCAGCGCTGTTTTAGGAAGGTGGAGCCTTGCTGGGTAGTGGAACAAGGCAGAAGGACAGCGGTTTTATAACCTGGGTCTCATGCGCCTGCCTCCAGGTGTTCCTCTCCCTGACTGTACCCCTTCATGCTCCCACCTCCAGGAGTTTCCCTCTCTGACTGTACCCCTCTCAGTTGCTTCTCATCATGCTCTGGTTCACAACAAGAAAAGTAACTTAACACATCAATTCAAAGAATTAAAGATTTAACTTTAAATGATTCGCTGATCTTTAACAAGATATTTTGCATCTTATTTCTACTTAATACTTGTAAAATGGAAAAGACAAAGCAAAATGGCTGGTTTGAACTAGCAGGTTCCTAGTACAGTTCCTGACTCAATCATTTTACCACCTAATCTAATTATTAGGCTACTTAACTGTAAAGTAGGAATAAAGATGATTTAACAATTAAAAAAAAAATTATGGAAAAGAAAGGTTAACTATAAAGGACACTAACCACAAATGAGCAGCCTTATTGATACAGATAAATGGAACCCTAGACCATAGTATCCAACTAAATTTGGTCAAATTCTATTCTCGTATACTGCAGCTGGGGCTTCATGTATCTGAGGCAAGCATTCTACCAACTTAATTACCTCCTCAGACCAAAATGTAATGTTTCTTAATGAAAATCTAAAAAACATACATTGTTATAATATTTCATAATTATTACTTTTCTTTTGGTAATTCATGAAGATTGACAATCATATAAAAACATTCAGTCCTAGTTAGTGAACCTAACATATTAATCTCGCTGTGGAATAATAAACCAACTTCTCTAAGCTCCATTAGTATGAATCAAGCACTCCAATGTCAATGTCATTAAGTTTCTAAGCACCAAAAGCTAAGAACAATGCCCCTAAACACAGCAACTTGAAGACATAGCCTTTAGCTAGACACGGCAGCTCATATCTGGAATCCTAGCACTTGGGAAGCTAAGGCAAGACTGTGAGTTTAGGATAGCCTGGGCCATATAAGGAATTCCAGGCCAGTCTCAACTACATAAACACTGCCCCAGAAAACAAAAATGACAACAAAAGAACATGTCCTGCTTGTGATAGCCAGGCTTGTGTGCTGGATCTTGGTCCCTCCAATTCAATAAAGCTCCCCAGGAGTTCCCTCCATTGACCTGCTCATTCAAGAAAGCATCACAACTATTGTGAATTACAATTCATCCTCCACACGGACCTCACTTGGAAGGCAAGCGCTAGCAACTAAACCCCCTTTAAGCTGTGACATTTTCAGGCACACAGTCTTAACAACCGAAAAACAAAATAAAACAAAACACATGCAATAGTGAAATCTTTCCTTTTCCCGCCATCCCTTTCAATAAACCCCTTTACAACAAAACTTTATTTTTCCCACAACTACCTCCAAATGTAAATCCATCTATTACAGTGTAATGAATAAAGCCCACTTGCTACAGCAGTTATTTCCAGACGCACCTCAGTCCTAAACCTTTCAATATTACTTACTTATGTATACTTCATGTCAGTCCAGAAATAATGTGAACTACAGACCAATAAAGACTTACTTCTTCTTTTTCTTGGATTCTCCACCTTGCTCATCATCACTAAAATCCGAGTCGTAACCTCCATGCCCGTGCATCTGCAAAAGATTACAAAGTCAGCTGTGTAGACCCTCAGCTGCCAAATATTCAGGAAACACAAGCGTAAAAAGTAAGTGATCTCAAACAGCCACAAGATTTATCAGACGAGGTAGGCAGATCGCTGTCTATGGCCATGTAGCTATCTAAACCTTTCATTGCCTTTGAAATAACAGACTGAGAGTTCAGAAATGCACAAACGTTTTCCACCTTTAACTGCTGTTAAGAAAATTAGCCGCTGGCCTTTCCGGTGAAACCTAAGACTGGATGCTGCAAAACGGCTGTAGGTGTCACCTTCATCTGATTCACAATGGCAAGTTACTGTCTAGTGTGCACCCCCAATGATGTCTCAGTCACTGACAGACCCCTGAAAATTTTTATAAAGTTGAGGCATTACTGCCCAGCACTTCAACTACACATTTTACATGTGTAGCTATGCTAACTGTGCAAATAGCATTATATTACAGTTATCTACAGTAATAATTACAACATGACATATAGGGTTATAGCTTAGGAAGAAACTAGTTTCCAGGCTGTCTGTGGTGTGGGTGTGTGATGGCTGTACCACTGAGTAAACATGCTCTGTGATGGTTGACCACTGAAGAAATTGCCAGAAGATGTACTTCTCAAGTGTCTCTTATTAGACAGAGAACTAACTACATAATTAATCACTATGTCATAGACATTGTTCTATGACAATGTCTTTATAAACAATGCTTATGATTTTTCAAGATAAAAACAAGTACTTACATTTCAGGAATGAGAAGGGTCAAGGGGCAAAACCAATTTTACAAAGCAAGTAGCTAACCTGATCTACTTGATTCTTACGGCCCCAGTTTAAACCATGTCTCAGGAATAAGACTAGTCACAACTAACCAGAATCAGTGTTTGCAAACAGTACACTATCAAATTATTAAAAATCTCCCCTTAATTTTGTAAACATGAGTTTTGTTTTACTTGAGGTTTCTTCAAAATTAATTACCTTACCCCTTTGCTTAGTCAGTTTTATTGCTTATTTTTAGATGGACATTCTTGGAGTTGGTGAGAAACCTCAGCTGTCAATCATGTCTGAAAAGACATCTGATTCCAGCATTCCATAGAACCTGGAACACACATGAGCAGGGGTACAGATGGGTTGCCTCACTATTGGGTGTCATCAATATTCAATTCCTACACCTGAAGGAAGCCAGCATTTGTGTCAGCAAGTGCACAGAACTTGGGATACACATTAATAGGGTATGGGTGGGTTGCAATCTCTACAGCTGAAAGGAACCAGAGCAATCAAACTGACATTAACTTTAGCCTGTGTGTAGGCAAGTATAGCTAGGACAATGCTTCCAATCTTGACGACCTTCCTTATGTGACTGCATCTCTTGGGACTTCATTCATTTGTTAAATGAGGTAGCTGTGTCCAGTTGCTGAAGTCTGAGTCTGTAATTCCACTTCCAAACTTGGATGTGTGAATACACACCTCTCTTCCCTATCCCACCAATTGCTAAAGACCACAGTCAAGCTCGGAGGCACAGGTTTGCATGCCATGGTTTTCCACCTTCCCTGAATGACATCTATCACTGCCTTATACATCGAAACTTCACAATTTTTAGCAGATCAACATAATATCACAGCTGTTCCTCTAATCCTACATCCTCACTTTCTTCATATTTTGATGGTGGACAAACCATAGTGTGGAGCCTGGGGCTTTAGCCGAATTCAAGGTCTGGCAGATGCTTTTCATTTATCTTATCTTTTTCAAAGAGAGTAGTCCTTAATCTCTCTGAGCCTAGGCTTCCCCACTTACATAAAGGTTAACATAAGTCCGGACCTCGCAGGAGTAAATGAGCCACCAAGCTTAAAGGGTTTGGGAATGGTATCTGGCACGGTAAACCCTGTAAATATGAACTAGTAGATCATCTTGACCCCCGTCCCCGACACCACTTCCCTGCTCCGACTCCCCTATTGATCTTTCCTCTGGCAGCTTCACCAATCCCAATTTACCTTAACTCAGTAGCTTCATTAAAATCCTCTCACTCAAATCATGCTATCAATTGACTAGAGTTAAGCAAAGAGAATGGGGGGGGGCTGCCCCTAGAATCTGTCAAAATAAAAATTACAACCAACAACTATGAGGAACCAGTTTCAAAGTCCCTTCTAACAAGCAATACGCCCATGGCCCTCCTTACACACCCCTTCCCTTCCGCTCCTCTCTGTCTGGCAAGTTCGTCCCAAGTCGTGGCAGTTGCAGCGACGACCCACGGCCTCAGCGAGCCGCTGCAGCTCCGCGCCGGTCCTACCGAGCCGCGCAGCGACGCCGCCAGCGCCCGCCGCGAACCCGTCCCTACGGGTACCGGCTGGGAGCAGCTTCCGGCCGGCTCAGAGGCGTGTCACAGCTACAAAGCACCGATCTCCGGCGCTCTGACCTGGTGCGGCAGTCAGAACGGCTCGGGGGAAACAAGGACGGCGGGAGTAAAGGCCCGGAGAGGAAGCGGAGTCTGTGGTCTTCCATTACCTCCTGGGCCACCTCCCTTTCCTTCTGGGGAATCCAACATGTAGTACAATGTGGCACTGCCCGCAGCTCTGCCCACGTCCTTCACTGGAAAAGATATCTCGCTATAGAAATAGCCTGTCGCCTGCGGTCCTCTCTCTAGTAACCTTAGTAACGCCTCCACTGAGCATTCTTGCCCAGAAAACGGCTCAGCCTCAGATCTGCCTTATTACCCTCCTCTTCCCCCAGAGAAACAGTGCTCATAATTAGAACAAAAATAGCTTCTCCGCGTTCTGCCACCCACACAATAGATACTGTTCCAAATGCAGTGCTGGCGGCTGAAGAAATCGAATTGGCAAGGAAAGGAAGACATGAGGAATGGGAGAGGTTTCACAGGGTGGTGGATTCTCGGCCAATAAGGGACCTGGCACGTGCGAAAGGGCATCCAAAATAGAATTTAGAATGGGAGGGGCAAAATTAAATTATTCTAACCCCCACCAGTTCTTTCTGCATTGTGCTCGTACACCGTGACGTCTCATTCTGCTTTCCACTGGATTCAGATCTTGTCTCCCTCCAGGAGATCCATCTCATCCTTCGCACCCACAGTGTCTTTGAAATCACAGGAGCTACAAAAGCATTCCTTGAATAGGACTGGCGTGCCTCTGGCTTTCACAGCAGGCCCATTTTAAGAACATTTCTAGCATATAATAATACTCTTTTGTTTTTACATCTTTCATTCTAAACAGTAGATAACAATATCTCTGTCAATCAGTATAAGACTTCTTTTCATTCCTGGCAGTAAATTATAGATACATCCTGATTTACCCGGAGCAGTAAGTGTGATCTTGTTAGCTACATGATTATAAATTCATGTATTTCAAGATGCATTTGAACTATACTGTGATAAAAATATTTCCTTAAGAAACTAAAGACAACAGGAAGCCTCATACTTTACTATTATAACATATTGAGTTATTTTGTGGAGCAGTTATTTTTGATAAATATCTAAATACCAAAGACTTTGTTTTTTTATATATATTGCTAATAAAGTCAAAAACATCTGTACCTTATATCCAACTCCTTTATATCAATGTTTGACATATATTAGAATTCTTGTTTCTTCTTAGGCATCTTTTATCTGTTAACTTCGTTTTGCCTAACAACTCTGTACCGCTATTATAGGACCTGCATTTAAATTTTAAAAATTTTTTGTTTAGGCGTACATACGTGTGTCTGCTTCTCTGTGTTCCATTACATGTTGAGGACAGAACACTGTGTAGGAAGCCCTTGGAACAGTAGTTGGAGTGGTGTGGGCCATCTGTTGTGGGCACTGGTCCTCTAAAAGAACAGCAAGTCTTTCAACAGCTTTGCCAACTGTGGTAGTTTTGAATGAGAATGGCGTCCATAGACTGATATATTTGAATGCTTAGTCCCCATTTATTGAAATGTTTGGTAAGGATTAAGATATGTGGTTGGTCTATCTATCTATCTATCTATCTATCTATCTATCTATCTATCTATCTATCATCTACCTATCATTTCTATCTCTCCACTACTTGCTACCTGTAACTTGTAGATCAGATGTGAACTCTCAGCTACTGGTCCAGAACTATGCCTGTCTGCTGCCAAGCTTCTTGCCATAATCGTCGTGAACTCACTCTCCACAACTGTAAGTAAGCCCCCAGTTAAATATGAGGTTATAAGTTTCCTTGCTCATGGTGTCTCTGCACAGCAATGGAAGTGTAAGACCCCATCTTTCCAACACATGCTTTGTTTTACACATGAGAGAGAGAAGCATGGACTGAGACTCTGCAAGTCGATGAGGGCTTGGAGCTGGGCAGTCATTAGGAAAACAGATATGTAAAAACTGCTTCCCTATCTCAAAGACTAGCTAGTTGGAAAGATAGAGCATGTAAAATAATAGCTCTAATGCATTTTATCATACACCATAAGTAGAAGATATCTGGAAATACCCAGGCTTTAAGATCTGTTATTGATATTTGCAAAAATGTAAATATGCATTGATATTATATAACCCAAAGCAACAAAATGCTATGGTAAATATGAGATAATGGTGGGAGAATATGGATTATGGTGGTGGTAAAATACCAAAGTTGTGTTTTTAATACCTACTATGAATTCAGAATTTTAAAAAATGAGTAGTGAGGGAAAGGTTGCTGAGAGAACCTGAGGGTAGACTGACAATGTTCTTGGAAGCTAGGCTTTGGTGTTTGGTTAGTGCTAAAGGAGAGTTCTAAAATACATGGTGGTATTTTGGCTCGGGAAGGATATGAAAATCAGTGTAGATGGTGTTTAAAAGGTTCAGAGTCATTCCTGGCTCATAGTAAGGTTTAATACATGTTCGCTGTTGTTTGAAAAAGAGATAGTTTGTATAGTGTTTTAGTGATATATTTTCTGTTTAGTGGAAAGTAGAAAGACAAGAATGGCTGGAGGCAGGAGGGGCAGTGGGGAGTTCATCAGGACAGATGGCAGGCAGTGTTGGGAACTGAGAGAAATAAT